AGAGCCTAGAGCCCTCATCCGCCGCATTCAACTCAGCTGGATGCCAGCGGTGGGGCCACGCAACATCGCCCGCGATACATAGCGCAAGTAACTTACGGATACATAGAAGGACACCGAAGGAAGCCGAACGTCCTTTCTCACAAGCCCAAACGAGTGACGCATGATCCCCAAGACGCAGGTGTCGCAAGCCCAAATTCTGAAAGGAACGAAGTTGATGTCGTGGAGCTGATTCCGCCCCCCTCCCCTCCAACACCATGGTGTTTCCCTTTTTGGCGAACTTCAAGGGGTAATCCAATTGCCGCCGCTCGGGGTCAAGCCACGTTTTAGGGACCTCATAGAACTCTGGGTTCTCCTCTATCATCTCGATTCCCTCCTCCTCCTCCTCGTTGTCGACCTTCGGGGGGATCATGGTAGCAACGTCGTTGAACACGCCGGGGCCCTCGACAGCCCCCTTGCGAGTCCGCGCTGCGGGGGCCTCGGGGCGGCGCCGAGACTTCTCCTTGACCCCGCCATCTCGGGAGACGCCCCGGGTCGACATGTTCCAGGAGCACAGCGCATGCCGACTGGAGCAAGCACCTGAGCTGGCACAGTTCGGACCCCATGGCCACTCCCATCTTGCATGGCAGAACGGAAGCAAGATGCTGAAAGTTCAAATCTCCTGAGCCGCGCTCCTCCACAAGCGACCCCCTGAGAATCGATGGGCACGGATGAAGGAATAGACATGGTGGAAGATGGACAAGAACTCTCTTCGCATCAGGCAGATGTGGACGCAGCACCCCGCGAACCACTCCAGCTCGCGCCCGCTGACTCGCGGGCGGCCCCGAAGCCGTCGACCCGCGGCCTCCAACAGCTGCCTCTCGCGGACTACAGGCGTCGCGGCGCGCGCGGGCCCTTTGACGCGGTAGCCCAGGGAGACGTCGCGGGGCCCGCCAGCTCGTGGACCACGAAGCCCTTCTTCTCAAGATAACGCCGCAGCCGGTCGCGGATGTCACCCGCTGCGTCAGGATCCAAAGCCGCGACGTCGACGTTGTCGGCGCAGGGCAAAGGCAAAGCCCTGTCCGGCACCAGCTCGGGGACGCGCCTCTCGTCAGCGATCGCCCTCTCGGCCTCGATGACTTTGAACTCCACGATCAGCTGGCACGCCGCCCGCCGCGCGATCCACGTCGCCCAGTCCCGGCCCGTCGGCGCGACCTCCAGGCAAGGCGCGACCATCGCGCCAGGGGGCGGCAGCTTACTGCCGCCCGGCAGCCCTGCGAAGTCAGCAACCGGCGAGACGTCAATCGGCGGCAGCGCGGAGCGCTCCGACCGACCGTAGGAAATCCCTCAAAGTAAACAAGTTCGATATGACCGCTTGCGCCACGCGCAGCTCAGCCTACGCAGGGACCGAGACGACGGCCCAGCGCGATCCGCTGGCCGAACCCAGGGCAGGAGGCGCCCCGAAGCGAACGCTGACCCCGCGGGCGCCCCACGCGATCCTGAGCGCGCCGCTCTTCTCTTTACCGAAAAGGGGGTCATGCGGCCCTTGGGCGACGCAGTCCAAGTCAGCATCCCGCTCGCGGCCAGCGAGCGGAGGAAGGCGGCGCACTCGGCGCGGGAGCGCGCGAGAACCGTGTCCACGCACGGCATGACAGGCGCGTTGACCTCGCAGACCCTGCCGAACTCGCCATCATCAAACATCATGGCGGTGCCGAACTCCCAGAGGCAAGCGGTGACCTCGGGCCCCACCAGCTGCTCAGCGAACGGGAGCCGCTCCGTCGGCTCCGGGGTCGCCATCAACTCGTGAACACAAGGCGAAACAGCGCCATTGACCTCTCCAAAATTGTAGCCGAGGTCAGACCGGAGAAGCACGCGGGCGGCTTCTCGCATGTCGGCAACGGACGACCATCGTCAGCACGCGCATGTCGGAGAAGGATGTGCTGGGCATCACGCTGCGAAAGCCGGTAGAAACGCTGGGCCCGGCAAGACCGCCCCCCCCCCCCCCCGTAGGGCCAGTTGATGGGGTCGACCATGGCATCTGCACGCTGGCCCTTGGCGCGACGCAACTTCAGCCTTTGCTGAACGGGGCGCGACATACCCTTGCGAACGGCCAGGTTCTCATCGAGCCTCGGAAGAGAAAGGAGATCGCGCGGAGCAGCTCTCGGTACCTGCGAGCCCGCGACCGGGGCATAGTAGGGCCTTCTCGCCTGGTCGGCCGGCGCGCCCATCTGCTGGCCCCGGGGGCCCTCTGCGAATCCTGAGGCCCCGGCGGGGTTCTGGCCCCGGCCGGCCTTGCCGCTGCCCCTGCGGGCCCGCGCCCTTGGGGGTCGCGGGGGGCGCTGCCGCTTCTCCTCCCGCGCCTTCCGGGCCTCCCTCGCGATGGCCGGCTCCAGGCGAGCCTCCGGGGCGACGTGGGCGGCCAGCAGCGGCGCGAAGATGGCGCCTCCTGGGCGAGCCCCCCGGCCCGCGCAGAAGTCCGCCATGCTGCAGTCGGTCGGGGCCAGGTTGAGTCCGTGCGCCTCCTTGATCAGCGACCTACACCTGGACAGGAGCTCGATGGGGCTCCAGCGACGGCAGGTTGAGCTGCTCCCGCGGCGAGGCGGCGCACAGCACCTTGGAGATCACCAGGTTTTCACAGACGCTCCTGCCGCCAGAAGCGGCCATGCTCATGCGCATCCAGATATCGCGGGCGGTGAAGCAGGACCCGCCGTAGTCTCGCACATACTTCCACGTCAACATCCGCGCGCGCGAGGACCTGCCGCCCTGGACCCGCTGGGCGCCGCACTCTCGCTGGAGAGAGCCACCACATCCGCCATGGCCCCGCGCCACCCGCCCTGGGGGTCGAAGAACACTGACAGCGCGCGAAGCCCGCCCTCAGCCAGGGCCGCCGCGCCCCCCGCCGTCGACTGACCCATCGCGACCGGTAGTGCAGACCTGCCCCTGGGACGATCTCGCGGTCGCCAAGGGGCACAGCGCCTGGCGGCAGGCGGTGAGCGATCAGGATGCCCCCCTGGCCCCTGATATCCAGCGCATGCCTCCAGAGCATACCTCCCAGGCCAAGGCGCCGCGGCGTCCTCCAGCGGGAGGCCGCCGGAATCATCCCGCTGCGGCGCGCCCCGCGCGATGCGCAGCGGGATCGACCTGCCTCTCCGCCGCGCACATCAGCGCTAGCCCGTCAGCGTCCTACGGGACTGGCATGTCGTCGCACCCATACACTACCAGGGGGTCGTTGCCCTCGGGCGTCGCCCGGGCCATCGCTTGATCGAGAGAGGCCCTGGCGTCACCGCCTTCGATCAGCGGCGTCTCAGCATAGTGTTCGCTTCCAGGCGGGACCCCGACGAACCGTAGAGGCGGGTCAGCACCCATGGTCACCACCCGCCTCGGGCGGAACACGCGCAAGCCGCCCTCCTCATACTCCACCAGCACGAGCTGCCCTGCCCGCGCTAACGGCGAGGATCGGCGCCAAGGAACGTTGCCAGTGCAGGATCTTGCCCCGCTTTTGCGCTCAGGCCCTGGTCGAACCTCTCGAACTCATCCTGCAGTGCCACCATCGCCGACTCGCTCGAGTGCGGGAGAGGAGACCGCAGTGCATAGCCGATGTAAAGGGGACTCCGCGGGAGGCCGGGCAGCTGATCTGGCAGCCAGACGAGTCGTCGAGTCCGGGCTGTCCACCCCGTTGATTGGTCCGATGATCCTGGGCTGGGCTCGATTTCGCCATCGTTCTCCAACTCGGACGAAGGGGGCCCACGGTACACTCGACGCAGCACGGGACTGAGCAGCAAACCGTCGCAACAAAAACTGGTAGTGTACGGGAAAACTCCATTTCACCGCAATCCTGTCGTAGCGTTCTTCCTGCGTCTCTGGCATGAGACCCGCCAGGGGACGCATTTTGGGCGAGGCTGGGGCGAGAGGTACTGAAGGGAATGGGCCGCCCGAAGCCTGGCCTCTTCATTACCGAGAAACTACAGAGCAATAGACGGCGTCGGAACGACGGCGACAGACACCAACGTGCAAGAACTGACCAAAACATCGATGACCCACTGACGCCGTTTTCATCGTCGTTCGAATTCGTGTCTCCCTCTCCTTCCCTTATAGATCATGGTCGTCTTCCTCATTGTCGCCTTCCCCTGCAAAGCCTTCCACGTCCTCCGCAGCTGTTTGTTGCGGAAGTTCCGTGTAAAGCCTCTTGGGGGCCTCACGAAACCTTCTTAGGGGCTTCCGGAAGCCTCCTGGGCGCTTTTGGGGGGCCTCTGGGGGATTCCTCGGGCCACCTTGCTGCGAACCACGGTCTCCCTCAACGACTGGGTCACGATTTGGATTGCTTCGGGAGGGGTTTGGGGGCCACCTTGAGCCGTCTTGGGGTTTTTTGATCTCTTTGCAAACCCTGTCGGGTCGTTTTGTGACGATTTTAGGGGCCTCTTGGGCGGTACCGGAGAATCGAGCATCAACAAATCAGACTCAAGACGCAAGACCACCAATGCGTTTTGCGTTTGGAAGGCCTCTTGGGAATGTTAGCTGGACCGTCTCTGGATGTCTGGTGGTGTCTGGGGCTGCTTGAGGCTCTCGCAGGGCTCTCTGGCCACCCTCGTGACCTCTTTGGGCCCGCTGGCCAGGCGCAGCAGGGACGTCCAGGAGGCCCGAGGTCATGGGGGGCCCTCCTCAAGGGCGTCCAGGGGGTCCCCCAGGGACAGGGGTCCGGGGAGGGCGAGAGCTACACAGGCCCTGGCATATGCCTGCGAGGCGGGGATACATGTATTCTTGCCGTCTTTGAAGTCGATGTCCTGGGTCCCCAGCAGGCAAGCGACGAAGATCGATCCCCTCGCATTTCCGAGTCTGGTTCGGCAGTGCAGGCTGGGCCGAAACAGCCCGAGGAGGCCTCGCTGACTCTTGGGACGGAGAATTCACATGAGACTTACGTGCCCACCCTGGGCGGTACTCGCAGCATCGCACCAAGACTCTACGTATACAAGGAAGGGAACCTGACCTGTGCGTTTCGAAGCCATGAGCTTTGCAAACCCTTTGGCCTTCTCAACCCACTTGCCCTCATGAAACATCCACGAGCCATTGAAGCCAGAGCCGGTGTTCGTCTCAGTTGGAGCGCACAGGAACGGCTGCACCTTTTTCCACTTCTTGTCTGTCACGATATCGGTCGGGTGGAAGTTGTAGCACTTCTTCCGGTACCACCAGTGGGTCGCCTTTGTGATGCCGTCGAGCTCCACGCAGCGCTGAACCTCCTCACCCTGGCGCCAGGACTGGCAGCACTCGTAGCCCGGATCGCAGCCCTTCGCACGCCCCTGAGGGGGGGGCTACAAGGTGTCGATACCGCTGCTCCCCGGACCTCTCCAAGGGTGCGTTATGATCAGGATTCCGAGGCGACTCCAGCCGTGGTGACAAGGCAGGGGCAGCGGCATCGGCAAGCAGATGTTGCTCCTCTGACCTGGAAGTTCAGCTCGTCGCCCAGACTCAGCCTGTCTGGCCTCCCCTTGCCGATGTTGGTGAAGCCGAGCTTCCAGTCCGAGGCCTTCATCTGCCGGCGGTCGGCCTCGCTGTCGGCGTTCGGCCACCTCATCTCCGCGCAGTGGCTCTCGCTCGTGATCCAACGGGGGCCAGTCCTCCGAAGGGGGCCAGCGGCGCCCCACCCCCGTGTCGTGGCGTCGGAGTCAAGAGTCGTAACACCTCCTCTACGCCTCCTCCTCCTCCTCCTCCTCCTCCTCCTCCTCCTCCTCCAACTCCTCCTCCTGCTCCTCCTCCTCCTCCTCCTCCTCCTCCTCCTCCTGCTCCTGCTCCTCCTCCTGCTGCTCCTCCTCCTACTCCTCCACCACGTATTCTTATTGTCCTTCGTATTATGATTTCTTACATTCTTGATACGATTCGTGTTAGGAATATTATTGTTACTGCTCATAGAAAATAATATGGTTACTAGAATTAGTCATATTACTGTTGTTATCATTGTTCGCATCACCAACATTATTCGTAGCATGGTGATGCTTAATATCATGACTAGTTACATTGCTCTTACTATTCGAAACATTCATCTTCTTATTATCATTACTAGTTTTCGTAGTAGAATACTGCTTCCTATTGGTATTGTTCGCAGCATTAAGGAAAATGTTGTTCTCAAGATTAGGATTCGTCTTCTTCGTATGCTTATTTCCCATATCCTAAGATGGGGTACTTGTTATTCCCCATATCCAATGGTTGGGGTTATTGTTACTCTCTGACCGCGCCGGACCCCTCATCATCATCCCTCCCCTCACTCCTCTCTCTCTCTCTCTGCACTAGACGATGATGATGAGTGTCATGGGAATGACCATGGCTTGGTGAGAGTATAGTGTGAGTATGACGGTGGTGGTGAATGATGAATGAATATGAAGATGATGATTTGATGATGAGGATGATGAGGATGAGGATGAGGATGAGGATGAGGATGAGGATGAGGATGAGGATAAGGATGAGGATGAGGATGAGGATGAGGATGATGATGATGATGATGATGATGATGATGATGATGATGATGATGATGATGATGATGATGATGATGATGATGACGATGAGCAGATGAGGGGGATGTCTCGAGCGGCTTGCTGGTTTTAGCATTCCTACGGAGGGGCGCCAGGGGGTATCTCACGGCCTCCGTTCGCGCCAGAATGGCGGGGATGTCTCGAGCGGTCTGCCTGTTTTGGTCGCGAACATCCTTCGTTTTCGGAGCAGATGTCGAGGATGTCTCGTGCGAGGCACCTCTTAAGGGGGGGCAGCCAGGGGTATATCACGGCCTCCGCTCGCGCCCAGATTGCGGGGATGTCTCAGGCGGTTTGCCTGTTTCGGTCGCGAACATCCTTCGTTGTCGGAGCAGATTTGGAGGATGTCTCGAGCGAGGCGCTCGTTTTCGCCGCCCCGGGGGGGGGGCCAGAGTTTGAAGATGTCTCGATCGGTTTGCCTGTTTGGGTGGCCAGACTCGTGGGCACAGATTCTCCCCCGGATGCCACAGGAGGCTCCAGCAGGCTCCAGGAGGCCCCAGGAGGCCACATGAGGTCCCAGGAGGCATCAGGAGGCCACAGGAAGACTCAAGAGGCCAAAGGATATCCCAAGAGGCTCCAGGAGCCCCCTGGAAGCTCCAGGAGGCCTCAGGAGGCCCCAAGGGGCCTCAGAAGGCAACAGGAGGCCCCGAGAGGTCCCAGGAGCAGGAGGCCTCGGAAGGCAACAGGAGTGGCTCCAATCCCATGTGGTTTACGTATGCTCCTGTAGAGTGGGCCTCACCTGGAGCACGAATAGTTGATGTTATACGTGTGTGTTTTTTTAGAGTGCCCTTCTCATGTGTAAACAATCCTAAATGTTTTACGTATGTTCCTATAGATGGGGCCTCCTCTGGGGCACGAGTCCTTGGTGTTTTATGTGTGTTCCTATAGATTGCCCTTCTCCTGCGGCTCCGATCCGCAATGTTTGATGTACGTCTGTTCCTATAGATTGGGCCTCTCCTGGGACACGATTCCTGCCCAGGAGGTCCCAGGAAGCTCCAGGAGGCCCAAGGAGGCCACGCGAGGCTCCAGGAGGCCTCAGGAGGCCACTCGAAGCCCCAAGAGGCCCCAGGAGGCCCCAGGAGGCTCCTTGAGGCCCCAGGAAGCCTCAGGAGGTTACAGGAGGCCCCAGGAGGCCCCAGGCTCATGCGCAGAGACGCGCTCGTACTACTGAGACTCATTCACACTCCAATGCATTCGCAGTTAGATTCATGACGGCGGACAGGTCCACGCGAATAGATGCACATATGGGGTGCTCTACGCATCGAATAATTACTTTCACCACGACGGAAGGACAGTCACACCCTCGCCTCACTCATCGCTCCGCTCAGACTCGCACATCACTCAGCCTCACTCATGCTCTGACTCGCTCACTCAGACTCACTCATCGCCTAGATGCATCCATCACGCAGACCTGGATTTGTTCATCGCTCAGACACACTCGTCACTCAGACTCACTCGTACTCTGACTCGCTCTTTCTCACTCAGACATCGTCACACCACTTTTATGATGATGATGATGATATGATGATGATGATGATGATGATGATGATGATGATGACGACGATGACGATGATGATGATGATGATGATGATGA